CAGAGGTGGACCTGGAGCAGCCCCAGCACCCAGGGCACCCAGAGGGTGTGGAGGTTCCCACCGAGGTGGCCAGTGATGAGAGCCCACGGGGGCTGCTCTTCTCCCCACCAGCAGCCCAGGAAGTGCCAAGAGACTTCTGGCCTATAGGAGTGTTTGAGGACGGGATTGCCCTCCAACTCTCGGTTCCCAAGGGCTGACTAAAGGCTCCAAGGAACCAGAGTCACCCCCACTCTCCCTGGAGAACAGTGGGGCAATGCAGCAACTCTGCCTCTGCGGTCACGGCTCCTTACAGACTGGGTCTGCCCAGCAAGGTCTGCCTCGGAGCAGGGCTTTGTAGGCCAGGCCTCTTTCTATGCCAGCCCTTTGCTCTGCACATGGGCTCTAGGGCCCTGGGCTACTCTGCTCTCCCCTGCCCTGGTGCTGTGCCCCTCACTTTCAGATCTCAGGTCAAATCTCCCTCCAACAAGGCTTCTCTGTCCGCCAGGTGAGAGCTGACTCACTCAGCACCGTTTATTTCCTTCCGGGCATTTACCTCAACTCACGTGTGTTTTATTTGTTTGTTTTCCTGTTCACACTCTCATATGTCTTCCTACACTGCCATATGAGTGCACTGAGGCAGTATCCTAATCTTCTTTGTGTCCCCAGCACCCAGAATAGGGTCTGGCACATAGGAAGTGTTCCAAAAATATTTGTTGGAAGAATCGGTGGATGGAGAGAGCTGGCAAGCAGGCCCCCCTGGAGTGCCCCGCTGTCACCACCCCTCCATGTGGGGCATAGAAACTGCACTGGCTGGAGAGCTGGGTCTCTGCCTGGCTTTCACACAAACCCAAATTATGCAGCCACCTCCAAGGCACTTGGGGGGTCTCTGCGATGAGAGAGTCAGAGTGTTCTGACACCTGGTCCCTGGGCCACCTGGGGCAGGCCTGAGAGTATAAGCTGCCTGGGGGACATCGAGAGTACTGGGACCATCACCTCCAGCTCCTGGATGACACACCCCACATATCCGCACACCTCTGTACACACATCCCTCTTCCAAAGGCAAGTCCTCGGCTTTAGATCTTTAAAAACCTGACCACAACCCACAGTATGGGCTGCAACTCTTTGGTCATTTGGTATGATACACGGAAAACAAAGCACATAATTCACGTGTAAGGGGTTGAGTCTACTGACAGGTGGGCACTTGGCTCCTGTACAAGCTCCTTCCGTCTGCAGAAGCTGGAGGCCCCTGCTGTGCCAGGCTAGGGTACACGGCAGGCAGCAGTGAGGCCATCAGTGCACGAGGTGGCTGGTTCTTGGCGCTTTGCATGCCTGCTGCATCCATGTCCCACTGTTCTTGACCCTCACAGGGCCCTACAGATTGCACAGCCACTTTAGAGCCAAGCTGTCACCTCACTGTGGCTTTATGGTGGGGTGGATGGGGTAGTGGGATTTCAGCCCCACTCCAAGGGCCTGCAGGAAGAAGCAGGCCTAGGCAGTGCCTCCGGCTGAGACCTCGAGTGGGGACCTCCCAAGGCCATGTAAGGGGAGGGGGCTCTCCTCAGTAGTCAAGCCAAGGACATGTACTCAGACGGAAATGCTATGCTGGGCAAACGGCACGGCAGCCCGAAGTGGAAAGCTAACGGGCTCCCTGTCACGTGCCACTCAGAGCATGATCCCTGAGAGGCTGGTTTACCCCATGCGGAGGAAGCTGTTACAAAGACTGAGTCAGTTGGGAAGCGAAATCAGCGAATTGCCTGTGCTCTGGTGTGGTCAGCGGTGAGAGGCTTCCTGCTCCAGGTGAAGGAAGAAGACACACTCTCTCCGTGTTGTCCTTCCGTGGGCGTCGCCCGCCTTGACTTGGACCATGGCGAACCCCCACCCCTCCACGTGCACTGCAAGTTGGCAATCCCAGGTCTGTGACGCTGGAATCGAGAATCTGTGCCTGAATCACAGAGCGTGTCTTGAGCACTGACTGATACAAACAGGCGTGTTTCTCCTGCCGCTGTTAACTTTCGTGTAACAGTTCCCATTTCTGGCCGTGTTCAGTAAATTTAATTAGTGCTGAGAAGCAGCTTATTTGGTATGATGATCAGTTTCTAACCTGGGTAAACGACTTTCTTTATGCCTATAAATTAAGCACATTATATCTTTCTCGTGCATCATGGCTGTCCTCATAAACACTGTAGGCAGTTGCCGGCGGTCTCACTTGGTTACGTTTCCCATTACTGTTTTATCACCGTCCTGGTAGGAGAGGGGAATTCATCCTGTTTTAGTAACAAGGAGGAAGTGGTGACGAGGGGCTGTTTAATTAGGAAGCCACCACTTACCAGTGTCTCTGTGACCGAGACGGGACCCCAGGCCCATCGCTATGTAGACGTTCTCAGCTTGTCATAGGTTGCTCTCCGCGGACTGGAAAGGGGCAGGTGCAAAGCTTTAAAGCTACTTTTGCCTTTCTTGCAAATAATTAGGAATCAAATGTTTGCTGACAGCTGATTTCCATGTCAGAGAGAACCTGCGTGTTCTTGACGACTTCCACAAGTGCGGATTGGCATGTTTTCTTAATTCGGGCCCCTCAGAGCACAGCCTGTGGGGAAGGCCTCAGTCATACCTGCAGGCCCATCAGACGTGAGCATTGGAGGTGTCACACACAACGCTGCTCTTCAGAGGCATTCACCGTAACCTGGGCTTACAGGTGTCTCAAAGGAGAAAGTGTCGGGTTGCGGGGTTCGCCCACCACCCCATCCGAGGTGAGCTGGCTTTCTTTTGACTGCCAAGGCTGGATTAGCTGGGCTCTGAAGCCCCTCCTGCTCTGCCACACAGATTCTAATCCCCTTGACCCCAAAAGGCCCACCTCCGTGGACATGCTTCTCCTCTCATGCTGCCATCCTTCCAGTTTTCCTCCTGCCCCCACCCTTGGAAGAAGCAAGGGGAGAAGCAGCCCTCGAAAGGTCTCTGTGTGCGGGGCCCTCACCACCCTTCCCATCCCAGCCTCTAGCCTGGGGTTCGAGCAGTGGCGCAATCAGAGTTAAAGAGACCGGCTTTTAAAACTGCTGTGTTTCTTAAAACCTGAGTGTAAGGAGACCATGTGAGGACAAAGGCCCTGTATTCTTGGGGCCTCCTGAGGCCAGAGAGTAGGGCAGACACTTTAGGACGGAAGTAGGGGGTCGAGTCAGAGAGAGGCACTCTGACTGGGGTGGCAGGAGGAAGTGGCCCCCAGTGGGGAGTTGGGGCTGATTGAGGGAGGGGGAGACAGTCTGAATGGGCAGCACAGCAGGAGCAAAAGAGACCAGAGGCTCCAAAACTTGAGCTGTTTTTTCAAAACTGGGTGATTAGTGGGTGCCCTTCCCACTGCACATGGAAAGTCATTAAAATGGCGATACAATGGCAGTGCTTTGTGTCCTGGCTCTGTGTTGGAAGAGAAACAAAGGCTGATATTTTTAGAGCTGTGTTAGTTTCTCCTAGTAGCCGCCAGCACTTTCTAAAGTAACCCATTTTCCAAGCAGCCAGGAGAATCAGCTAATCAAACACCTTCGGTAGCAAAGCAGCCGTAAACACCATGGGTGGGGGCCTCCAGCCCAGAGCCTCCCTCGCCAAGCACCTTTGTCTCCCCTCCGCCTGTCAACCTTGATAGGAAGATGTGCGCTGGGGCCGGTGAATGCCACTGAACCTTCACGGTGACATGCAAACAATTAGCAGAGTGGATAAAGGAGATCCATGTGCCCGCGTAGGAGCTGCACTTTTACACTGCTCAGAGATATTTTGACCTTCCAGTTGATTATGATTCAAGAAAAAGTCAATATTTCTTAGCTTGCCAAGGCTGGAGGAATTTAAATGAGTTATTGAATCAAGCAGTTAATCTACCGATAACTGATTTTTTTTTCCCTTTCAAATCTATAATGATGAAAAGCGGACTTAACCAAAAACAAGACAAGGAAGTTTTGTTTTTTTTTTTTCCTTAGACATTTTAATCCTAGGGGGTAGGAGCTGGGGCTGAAAGTTCAGTCTTTGCCAGGGCCATTCTGTTTTGCTGAGTATTTTGAAGAAGATTTATTTAAAACTTAAAAGCGAAGACTTCTGTAGCCATAAAATCTGCATTCGTGTTTTAATTATTTGTATTTTGAGATCCCTTTATAATTCTCAACTTCCTGTCTGTTGCCATTCATGCCACGTGGCAACCAGCCATTTTCTGGACTCCTGTGACAGAGCGTAATGTTGGTAATAGATGCTTGCTTGACCTTTCACGTAAGCGTCCTCTTTCAGCATAAGCCGCTCTACCAGCCACCCTGCCCTCTTTGCTGTCCGAGCTCTGGGCGCCACAGCCTGACATCATTATAGGCGTATGTTGGGTGGAGGGGACACCCAGCAAAGTGGCAAATAGGAGACCCAAAGCAGGATGCCATTTTCAGGGCATTCTTGCCCATGGCTTCAGCATTGTGCTGGAAGGGACTGGGCAGTGAAGACAGGCTGCCACCACTGATGACGTGTGTCCTGGAGAACTGTAGTCTGGCCTCACTCCCTTGGGGGCCCCCTATCCTGAACACTTAGATACCACTTTCTCCTTATTCCACACTTCCTCCTTAGAAAGGAAGGCCCTGCATGCCATCCCCTTCCCCTGCACAAAACTCCTCACCTCAGGTGTCCCTAAGGCCAGCCGGTGCTCTCTGCGTGAGGCTATGGGGGCCTCGATTCAGGCCCTCCACTCAGACATGGTCCGTTGGCACTTTGCCACCTCCACATGCGCCCCGCTCCTTCTCCCTCCCAGATGGTCAGTCAGGGTTGTGTCTGAGATGTTTGGTGCAAGCCAGTCATAAACCTGAGCTGTCCACTACAGGGCACTGCTCTAGGCACCTGCAGTCACCTCCTGTCGGAAGGGCAGGGACTCCATCGGCACCCTGAGTCCCCAGGCCTCGGCCTCACAGGCAAATGGAGCCTCTGCTCACCATGACTTGAAAGGGCCACAAAGGAAGGCCGGGACCCCGCCCGAGTGCCTGCAGCTGACCCTCTGTGTCTGTGTCTGGCAGGGCTTTCCGGCAGTGATGGGAGGCCAGCTTCCTGCGGGAAGAAACGGTGCAGCCGCGGGAGCAGGTGCGTGCTCAGCAGGGAGACGGGGGAGCCCGAATGCCGGTGCCTGGAGGCCTGCAGGCCCAGCTTCATGCCCGTGTGTGGCTCCGACGGGAAGTTTTACGAAAACCACTGCGAGCTTCACCGTGCCGCCTGCCTGCTGGGGAAGAAGATCATCACCGTCCACAGCAAGGACTGTTTCCTTAAAGGTAGGAAGACGGCTCCGTGGCCTTACGTTTTTGGGGTTTGCGATGGTTCTTCTAATGCCTTTTGACGAATGATCTGGGCGTGCTGAGTTTGCAGGTTACATGGGTAAAAGTAGAGAAAGAGGAAGGCGGAGGCTTCACATCATGGCAGCAGTGGCATTCTGGTGATGCAGGTTCTGTCGTGTCCACCTCCAGAGGCCCCCCCCGCCCCCGCTGCCCTCTGGAGGGAGGAATCCAGAGAGGCCCGGCTAGGAACCAGGCCACAAGGCAGTGCCCATCCCTCATCTGGGATGGGCCCTGGCAAGGCGGTGACAGGACCTCTGTTTACCCCTCCAGACACATTCGTGTGAATCAGGGGGTCGTGTCGTGCATAGAATGTGGCCAGGCGGACAGCGGCGCAGTGGTTCCCAGCATGGCAGGGTTCCAACTCTGGCCTGGAGTGGCTGCTGATGGAATAGCGCTCCGCGTCTGACCTGGCAGAACACCTGAGCAAGACGGGAAGGCCCCGCAGACGTCAGACTGTCTGTGGAGCTGGAGCCAAAGGGTCCGTACCCTGTGCCGGGGCCGAGTGAGGAGAGAGGGGCAGTGTCCGCCCTCGCGAAAGGGTTAGCGCCTCCAGGGCAGGGCCCGCGGCTCTTCACACACTGACTCACTCTTGGCACCTGGCGTGGTGCCGCACGCGCACCAAGTGGATGCTCAGTGGCCCACAAATGCTTGAAGATGAGAAAGTTAGAGCATAAATTCCCACGTTGATGTGGCCCCACGGAATGGTACATGCTGCAGCCTGTGGAAACATTTGTGACCCTGGCCACACATGAATAAGTTAGGAACTGTGAGAAGGCAGAAGCAGCGTGTGGGCAGATGGGGACATGGGGGACATTGGAGGTGGCAGAGCCCAGGTGCGGTTGGGCAGAGACCTTCCTTGGGGTAACTGGGAACAGAATCCCCACCAGTGCCTGCAGCACTAGCTTCTGAACTGGCAAAAGCTGTGGGGGCCTCACACTAACAGGCCCCAAGCCCCGGGGTGCTGTGAGGGGGAGCATTCTCGGCAGTGGGGCACAGGTCTCTGGGCCTCCCGCAGGCCCTGCTCACGCCTCCTGCACTCACATAAAGGCCGCCTTCCTACCCTCACCCTCAGGCTGTGGCAGCTAGGGGCCCTGGCGTGCTCGGGGCTCTGGAAAGTGAAGCTCTCTGCGACGGCAATATTCTTGGATACTTTCATGGTTGTGCTTATGACACTAACACTGAGGTGCTTCAGACATCATGAGGCACATTATGGAAATGAGACCAAAATGAGCCCGAGAAAAATGCCCCCGGTCTGGAAGCACTGCCCGGCCGTGTGCCTGCCATTTCCCCAGCAGCCGTGAGCACTAAAACACTTGACCGGTTGCTCCAGCTTTATTGGCCATGTTGAAATTTTATAGACTGATGTTCCGTTCTCCAGCTTCCAATATCCCCCGAATTGCATCTTTCTGAAGGTTTTTATTTCTACATCACAGTGTGCACAGCCTCCCTCACCATCGGTTATTCAAACAGCATTTCTCATTTCATGCAAGGGAAAAACAGCCACCACAAAATCCTGTGAGGGATGTGGGGGAGAGCCGGAGAGGATGGGGTACAGGCAAGCAGATTAGGGTTCTACTTCGTGCTGGTTGAATTTATCCACCAAATCCTTCTGATTCGCTGAGTTCTTCATAGACTTTGTGAGTCGTCACCCCCGCCGGGTGGCAGGGCCGCTCTGCTCTCCGAAGCTGCCTTTCCAATGGGGAGCAGTCCTTATAAGGCTCCCGGAGGCTGCAGCCTGCCTCTGGCACTTCCCAGCTGTGTGGCTTTGGGTGCGTGACTCCACTTTTCTGGGCTTTTCCTTGGCTGTAAAATGGGGCTATGAGCAGTACCCACTTGCAATGTGGAGAAAAGTTCATGAGATGCTGCACAGAAACCACTTAGCATGGGCCGGGCACATTACAGATGTTGGCATAACGACAGCTTTAGTCATCATGAACCTGATTCAATGTGGCCTGAGGCCTAGAGCAGCAAGACACACAAACTGTGATGGGAACGCAGAGGCAGGAGCAAGGTCTGCCCAGCAGTCTCGGCGAACATTGCTAGGCCCAGATAGCTTCATGGTAGATAGAAGGTAGGTGAAGATGTTAGGCCTGATGCTAGGAGAGGCTCCGCTTTCTGCAAGCCCAGCCCCGAGGGTCTGGGCCCCCCAGAGAAGCCATCACGGCCTCATGCTCAGGGACAGCTACAGTCCCTAGCAGGCAGGAGACAGCTACAGTCCCCGCCTGCCTCTCCGCTAGCATGCCCACGGAGAGTGCCCAGGGGTCAATGGTGATGGAGCGAGGCCGGCCCTGAGGATGGGAGTCTGGGCAAGCACTTCCCACCTTCACCTGAAAAGAGCTCCAACAGGAAGCAGGAGGAAAGAGATAGACAGGGACTGAGGGGAAGGTATGAAGGACAGCTTCCTGCACTGCCCACTCCAAGACAGCAGCAAAATATATCATGCTATCTTGAGCCCCTTGATGACCATTTGTCTTTTGTCCCAGATTTCCAGGGACTTATTGATTCAGGAAACTTAAAAACACCTTTTCTTCCCATACAAATAAAAATTCTGAAATCATCCACGTTCCATTCTCTAGTCCTACCAGATTTTAGAAAGAGAAGTGATGACTTTATTCTCTGGGTTTTTTATGCCCCCAGAAGTCACTGATTGGGACTACTGTCCGGAGTGGAGTGTGCCGGGGAAGGGGAGGTGGGGGTTGTTTCTCCCGAGCACAGTGTGGGGGGCACATGGCCTCACCTCTCTGCAAGGGAGGGGAGGCAGCCCCGTTTACAAGAGAACTTCTGGTATCACACTCCAGTTGCCATGGCAATGGAATTCCTTGTGAACTCGGAATGAAATATCACATCATTTAGGGATCATTAGCATGTGAGAAAATCAAAACTGAGCTCAAAAGCATTGCTTCAGCTCGCGATTGCAGCCCTGACACCAGCTCTCCCGAGGTCCCAAACAGGGTTTCTCACCAAAAATCAGAAGTTGGGAAAGATGTGGGATGCTGTATCCCTTTCTTCTTAGAGTCACAATTATCCTCACTCAGCACCAGATTCTGCCAGAATACCGAGCTAGTGGGTGGAATTCTCTGTAACTTTCGCTGCATATAGAGTTTTGTGTTTTAAAAGGTATCTTGTGACATAGGTTCCTATTTGTGTACTAGTTGGCACTTTTGAAATTATTTTTCTGACTTGGTTTCGAATTCACGCTTTATCTCCTACGCTGTTTGAGAAGACAAGATTGCCTTTCAGCAATCACTCACCGTGCCAGGGCTGTATTATCTCAAGTGATACAATGTCGTAGTCGGCGGCTTTCCAAACAAACCGTGAAATCGTGGAAGAAAAGAGCCCGTTAGGGATCAGCTCGAACCGGACCTCGAGCTTTCGCATCCTGCATGCTGCTTGTCAGCCCACTTTGGTACTTCAGAGGGAGTTCCCAGACTCCTGAAATCAGAGGAAATAATTTCCATCTTAGACAAAAAAAAAGTTAACCACACTATATGCTCACTAACAGCTCCTGAAATCAGAGGAAATAATTTCCATCTTCGACCAAAAAAAAAAAGTTAACCACACTATATGCTCACTAACAAATCTTTTTTTCTTAAGTATTACTAAATATGAGAATAAAAACCCAACCTTTTACAAGTTAGCAAGGCCGATATATCCTGCTGCCAAGGAGACTTCTTTTTCCTTTTTTTCTTATTGTTATTTTGTTGTTACTTGTCTTCTCGTCACTTTATAAACATAAATTAAGCCCCGGGGCCTCTAGGGCATTCCATACTTCCCTAAGTCTTTTCTGTTCAGGGAAAGCTACCCATATCTCCAGCTGTGTCGCCCAGGCTCAGCACGAATCCTCCTCGGCTTCCCAAAGTGTGTGAGATTCCGTCACAGGGCCCTGATGGTGGCAGCATCATAGAGGCCTGGGTTTCCCTCTGTCGGAGTGGGTCCCTACAGCAGGGAGGTGCTGGAGCCCGAGGGAGCATCACATGGGAAGGCCAGGCTGAGGGGGCAGTGGGGCACAGGCTCAAGGGCACCATCCCACACCTCCTTGGAGGAGGCACATAAGCTCTGCCTGCCTCATTTACCTCATCTGTAAAATGGAATGATGATCGTGCACACCTCAGAGGGTCATCATGATCTACGCAGGCTGATGGCTATGTCATTGCAAACATCAGGACACATTCAAGTGGCACTTACCTCATCTGTAAAACGGAATGATGATCATGCACACCTCAGAGGGTCATCATGATCTGGAAGGAGTAGCGCTCGGTACGTAGTGAAATCTACTCAGGCTGATGGCGATGTCATTGCAAACATCAGGACACATTCAAGTGGCAAGTGCAAGAGGCTGTTAGACCCCTGCCCATGTGTGGCAATGCTATGTGTGGGCTAAGAGGTTGGCCTCCATGATTATTTAACGAATGACTGGTATTGAACTTCAAATGCTCAAACTTAAACCACTTTCTCAACCTGCCTTGCCTTTTGAAAAGTGATGTAATGAGTCATCCAAGTTCACCCAGCAAGTTAATAGAGAAACAAGTGGAGAATCAGGAGCTGCTGATTCCAGATCTACAAGTTTCTGGAATGCATGACAGGCTCTCAGGAACTGTCAGCTGAGCCCAAGGGAGGGAGTAGCTACCTGAGGATGAGAAGGGGAAGGTCTAGGGAAGGAGCTGGATAAAGGCATTTGGGGTGCATCTTGAAGGGTGATTTACAGCATCCTGGGTGCAGGTGAGAAATACCTGCAGACCCAGAGGAGAGCAGGTCATTAGAATGCAGATTCTGCAGGGCAGGGTACAGCTGGGAATAAATGCAGACAAGCGGGTAAGGGGGAGCTGAGAAAGGCCTGGGTGCCAAACCAGGCTGTGTGAACTCAAGGCGACTGGGTGTAGGATAAGCCGGTCCAACTTCTCATGTCTCAGGGACCTTGACGCCCAGAGAGCACTTGT